TYYTTTKKWAAWTWAAWWAAAAAAAAACTGATCCCACTCAAAAAAGAAGAAAAAAACATTATACCGATAGAAATAATACTAATTGCAGTAATGCATTTTAGTTTCCAATAAATGAAGTACTGAATATTTCAGAAAGGTCAAAATGACCTTTTAACAGTTAAAACCATAGCAGGCAACATTATGACTTTTGACATCAACAAAAAATATTTCTGACATTGCAAAAACATCAACAAGATCAAAAAGATGATCAATGTTTTTGGATGTTGCCCGATTCTGCCTCACTTTGGTACAAAACCACAGGCTCCTCACGCAACTTGTTTTCTAACCCCAAAAAGGGTACTAAATGCATTTAATCACATTATAATTTGTTTATTCATAATTAATTCTTAGTGTGATATGGTATGCACAATATTTTCAAGTGCTAACTTAGTTTCTGAATCAGGAAAGTCTTTCAAAGCTTCAAGTGCTTTATGACTGTACTGAGCCATCAGTTCTTCAACAACCTTCACACTATCGCTGTCAATAAATTGATGCAGACCTTTGCTTAGTTCTTCATATGAATCAAAGTCATCTTTAGCTTTTGTCTTGATGAGAGTGTTGACTAAGTCTGTGCACCCATCATTGTTCAAGGATAAGATGACAGGCAGGCTTGTAATACTCAAAGGTGACTGATGGATTTTTGTAGATTGTAGCTCTTCTTTAAGCTGATGTGCATATGCAATATTTTCCCCAAATTGAAAGGCTTTTTCCTGTAACTAAATAACAATAGTACTGTTAGACCTAATCATATGGCAAAGCAAATAGCATCTGATGATGGGGGTTTTCTTTCTTTGTTTGTTTTTGTTTTAAATTTTATGTTGACAAATGCAGACACAAGATATGAAACTTCTTGCACTCTTGCTTTTGCATCTGTGCTTACTGTTTCAACATGTGAACTGATAATTTGCTCTTGCTTGTATTTGCATGCCTCATGTGAACCATGCTTTAAAAATACATGTATCTACACCATAAATTAAAGTTGATCATTTGTATTATAATGTGAATGGGTTACTAATTTCTAAAATTTATATACATGTAATTATGTACTATGTTCTTGACATTAAAGTGCTGTAATCAAACACAAGATAAATAAAATACTCCAGTAAATTATGAATGAATTCTTAATTGATCATGCAGCATATTCAAATGAAGTGAGATGAAAAAAAAAAAGAATAAAAGAATGCATGAAAAATSTGATGAGATGATGCTCTTCATTGATTTAGTTTCCTCTAATATTAGCTTCAAAGCTCAAATTTCATTGGATGCAGGGACCGCAGAGCAGGGGAAACAATAATGTTTCCAACATTGTGTAAAAACTGAGCGTGAATAATTAGAATTGAAGCTTTTTCGTGACGTCTTTGGGATTTTATTGATAATATTGCTGACCGTGTATGCGGTAAATATGTCTTGGATAACACCTCAAAACACAGGAAATGACATTTCTGAGAGTTAAGATTTCAAAAATTTCTCAATCCCTCTAGTACCTCCTCACCGCTAGCCCCCCCAAACAAACTCACGTTCCGCGGTCCCTGGGATGATATCTCTACTTTTTAAAGACACTAACCTTGTCAGTATGGTTGACTAGCTTCAGTACTGAGTGACAACTATTGGCCAACAAACTAGTCTTGCATTTATAAACAAGTTGATACCAGTAATCTTGAGATAAGTCATTGATATCACAATTAGTTTGCATTGCTTGACCTTCCATCAAATGTCCAATGGATTGAGATATCATATCTACTATAACAGTGTTGTTAAGCTGTGCCAAGCCAGTACAWGCATTTGCCAATAAGAAGTCACCAGTTAACACAGACATTTTATTACCAAATTCCATGTCTTTGAATCGTTCTTGTGAAAATGAATCTAAGTTTACAACGCCACAATGGATTAAGTATGCTGAAATTACAAGCATATATAAGTTTAATAAAAATAAGGTTGCATGTTTCCATGGCTTTGTTTGGATGTAGATATWAATTTATAAAATACGATAGTTAATTTGAATTCAAAGGCAAAACTGTAGCTTGAAAACAAATATAYGAGATTCAAAGAACAAGTTTACAAATCTTTGTAAGATGGCTGGCYGCACGCTTGCTCTAGTCTAACCGCACCCTTTCAAACCTTTCAGCATTTTTGAAAAGCCCATGAAAGGTTAACAAATTTATAAAATCAGATGGATGACAAAAATATAAAATAAATATTTAACCAGTTTGGATACATGAATCCACAACTAGATGTCATATGGAACACGCCTATTTTTATATTGTAAAGAAAAAAGGTTACAGTAGAAGCGAAAACAAAATGAATGAGAATGAAAGAATGGGTGGAAGATGTCATACCAGTATTGATCATTTCTGTGATCTCAGCTAGTTGCCGCTGACCAGGATATATGCCAGACACAACTTCCTGGCCGATTGTAACCTCATCTTTCGACAAACAAGGCAAGGCAGCCTTAGCAACCAAGAGTACTAGCAACCCTCGTGTCTGCATACTGTAATGCCCGTCATAAACAAATCCTCGTGCGGTTTTTAAGAGKGGATGYTTGCTACCAATAAGACGTTTCATGTACATTGCTACATTTGATAGTTCATCGCTTAAAAGACATCTCAGGCTGAGAAAAGATGTTGGATATCCCACTAGCTTTTCTGCATCTGATAAAGCTTGATTGAAATCGTCTTTCTTCGCTAGGTTATCGTAACTCCAAAGAAAACGACGTGAAACGTGCCGAAGACGATGACTGAATAGCTTGGATAGCTGAGAGATGTTACTGCAGCTTGTAGACCTCATTATGTGACATCTAAACCTCAAATAGCGAGTTTTAGAAAAACATCTCTGGAAAGATCCTCGCAAGTTACATAAGAAAGAATCTGCGATATTTCTATTCAGCGGTTTACCTGGGGATATAAAAAAAATGACATATTTGATAAAATATTCATTTTTCTACAGAAATTATTCAACRTGTACATCTTTCTGTAATTCTCGCTTATAATATAACACGAATGAAAATCTATAAACAATTCCGCACGAAGGAAATAGCGCAACTCTAAAAAAATAAGCCTCACCCTCTCCTCCCCCTGTCAAAATAACCGCTGAATTCTTTGTGAGCCAGCAATTCGGCGCGTAAACTTGTAAACGGAACTGGGACAACAATATGTCAAGTGAAACTCATTTTCTGCTGATCCGAAGATATATTTTGATGACATAGAAAGTTTTTCTAGTTTATTAGACTTTAGGAAACGATAATGCCTACATTCAAGAGAGAAGAGGAGAGGAATGGCGACTTACGTTCCAGTGTCGTTACGTTGGACCTGTCAGGTACACAAAATCGTCAAATTTGATCATAAACTTCAGCTGTTTCATCAGAAATAGCTCGAATTTTGGATGTGTTTTTGCTTAGATGAATTTAATAATGGATGTATTACTGTATGCAAAGCTGGCACCATAAACATGTACGTGAATAAAATTGGTTATCGGGAGAGAAGTTTCAAAGTAACTAAATTAACACGTATTTGACACTTCTGTCAGATTAACATGTGACATTTTTATCAACCCATTGTRTTTTCTGATGCGTTAATCTTTGCTGTTGAATCAATTATCGTAGTATTATTGTTTGTTGTTGCTGTTTTGCAAATCAAGCAAAACATTCTTTTCAAATCTTTCTTTTTTTTTTGTATTGAAACTGTGTGACTTGTCATAAGAGGGAAGAAATTTTGAATTTTCTTAGAACACCATGACTTATGAAAAAAACACTTTTGAATAACAAAGTACCAAAACTAGAGAAAACAATGGTTCATTGGAGTATTTGTTATTTATGTGATAGACTAGACTGTTAAATTAATATAATATTTATCTATAGACAAGGGTCTACGAAGAATCGAGCCATTACCTGATGGTGTTTCAGCCCAAACCATCCTTTACAACCACAACAATATAGCAAGGATTGAAAACTTGCAATATTTTGAACACTTACAGCAGGTAAATACTGCACATGATACATTAGATTGCTTTTATAAAGCATAAAACATCAGATCAATGCTATTTTAATTCTTTTTTTTAATTGTTTCAATAGCACTAATTTACATCTAGTAATAGCCCGTTTGCATTATGACGTAACTTTACTTCACAACTACCAGAGAGCCTTGTGCATTTTCATTGTTATTCAGATTTTTAATCCCCTTGGAGTGAGATTAATAAAACAATTGGCACTAATTTAATTACAAAATAAAGTTGGCAAAGCATTCTGGTAGTTGTAGTAAATAACGCCATAATGCATATCGCCTATTAGTGTTTAATGATTTTATGAAAGCACTCTATAGAATGCTCAATATTTTGTTGTTCATGATAACTATTGGCTGTCATCTGGCTGATCTAGACAAGTTGTGACTATGRAAACCGTCAGCAATCATTTATAGTCATGATTGTTCAAACATTATAATGAACGTGGCGTGTAATGACAAGGAGGTTGTCAAAGGAAAAACGATCAAACTGTTTGAAGTGATTGTCACATTTATCATGAGTTCTTGTTTAGTCTCAGCATCCTTTCTATTTAGTTATCACTGGCTAACAACCGCTTGGTAGAGATGACAGGCATTTCCCAAGCACAGGGTCTAAAGGTTCTGGACCTCAGTAATAACAGCATCATATCTATTGAAGGTAGTTAATGATTGACTGAAAAAAACTAGTTAAATCAGTTAATTACAAGAAATTGGTTTGTTGAATTATGTAGGCTTCATGGATTYGATTTTTTATTTGGTCAATAAGACGGATTATCAAATAAAAATAGATTAATCATCCTATAAGTAAGACACAAAAATATTCAGAAAAAAAACAAACTTTAATTAATAAATGAAATATGCTTCACATGCCATTTACAASCAAAACATGTTACATTTTTCAGAATTACGATTTGAAATAAAGTGGAATCTTCTTATTTTRTTTAAATACTTAAGATTATATTGCATATCTGAATGTACATGAGAATTAATTAAGTTAAAACATTTTAGACTCCAGATTGTCTTTAGGGTAAAAAAAGGGAAATCTAACTATTGTGTGCATAATTTTTAATGTAGCTGGATCAGGTCAATTCCAATGAATCGTTGGTTGTTCACTGACTTGTATTGGGATCAGATGTCAATAGAATAACATGTACGCACTGTAGAGTGCAAACATTCAATGTGTGCAACACTTTCCACTATTTACTACAAAATAGTGTTAATTAAACAATAGAAAACAATAGAATTAGCATAATTTAGCAGTATTTAGTGGTATATATTATTGCACATACAGTTTAATAAATGTTTGTACTCTAGATCTTTCTTTCCCCAAACAGTAGTTAAATAATTTATATAATGCAGTTTATTCTGCCATTGAATGCTTAGGTTTGACTCATCTCAGGAGCCTTGAATGGYTGAATCTATCAGGGAACAGCATCAAGGTAAATCCTTTTGTTGACTTTGTACTAAAGTTAAGGGAGATTATCCTCCTTCCTTTGTTGGGCGTGTTTCATGACTAGTGTGTGTGTGTGGCTAGTATATGGGAAATCAGCAAACTTGAGGCTTTATWTTTTCAAGGTCCTTAAGAAAGTGGATGCAGCTGTATTTGCTGTGTGTCTTAGAAATAGTTTTTTTAAAAGGTTATTGTAATTAAAAGTGATAAATCAATAAATTTAAAATATTGTTTCAGAGAATGCAAAACTTGGAGAAGAACATCAACCTTTACCACCTTGACCTTTCTGATAACAGGTGAATAYGGAGTGTGAACTACGGTTAATCCATTAACATTAATTGTTCAATCGTAAAGACGCAAAGAAAACAACAAATATTTAAGAAATTTTTATATAATAAAACGGTGTGGGTGGCCGTTTTATATAGTTTAATGTAACCCTAACCCTTTTATAAAATTTTTCGGCATTGTTCGAGTGAAAAACAATTTTTTTTGGTTAGCTGTGGCTCTGTCCTCTGATATAAACACGGTTGTCAGCCAATCAGAGTGTGCATTCTATACATAAAAAATAATGATTTATAATTAAATGCAATATTTTTGTTTTTCAGTATTGTTAAGATAAGCAGTCTCAGAAACCTCATGAAGCTGAAGGTAATTTTTGCTCAGTTATCATAACAATCAACAGGTTTAATACTCCAGTTTTGAGATCTTATTTGTACATCCTTAACCTCCATAGCATGWAATAAATCATTTTATTCAGCAGAGATCCTATTGTAATGTAAACATTCCGTGTAAGAAAACAATAAAAATCTATGCTTGATTGAAGCTAAGGGTGCTTTCCATTTAGGCAGAACTGGCCGGCCAGTCCWCTCTATTTAGAGGTATATAAATAATGCTTTTTGTCAACATTTTTCAGTCATTTCGAGGTTTTCTGTAGAATAATGGATAGAAATTGAAAATTTGAATTTCCTAACTAAATGGAAATGATATATAATGCCGTTTGAGTCTCTGGGTCTGGCCAGCCAGTTCTGACAAATGGAAAGCGCACTAAGTTTCACAAAAGAATTTGAAACTGGAGTATTGTTTGTAATGCTCTCCTCYGTTCTGCTTGAATCTTATATAATATATCACTATAAGTTAATAAGCATAATTTGATAAGTGTGTGCACTGTAAAATTAAGCTACTTTGTTTATTACATAAAATGCAATGATTGATAATTTGTTTACAGACACTGCTTCTCCATGGCAACTTGATATCATCACTAAGTAACATCACAGAAAATGTGTCTGCATCAAGTGTTGTTACATTGTCGCTGGGCGATAATGAAATAATGGACCTGAATGAGGTATAATGACATGTTCTGCTCAGTTTGTTCGCTGTTTGTTTGTGTGCGCACTCTAACAAACATCAGCAAACATCAGCCTGCAATTTGCATCTGCAAAGTGCAATGTTCAAAAGTGAGCTTAATAGGCAATGTGGACCTATGCCATTTTTTAGCTGTTATAGTATTAAAAAAACAGCCCTAAGACGTTTTTACTTTTTTCTACAAAGGAAACATACTATGATATGCCTTTTGCATTAATTTATTACTTTTTTTTTTGGAAAACACCTTTTAAAAGCAAAGCGGCCATCCTATTTCCTGCAACCTTCAAATGAACAAGAGAGTCAAGTCAAGTCAAAATTATGACTTTTGTCATCAACAAAAAATATTTTCCCGACATTGGATTGTTGCCCGTTTCTACCTCGCTTTGGTGCAAAACCACAGGCTCCTTGCTCAACTTGTTTTTGCTCGCTGATGCGGTTGCTCGCTTGGAATGGGAAAAAGCTTATAACAGCCACAAACGTTTAGGCCAAATACTTTAATTTCTCTTTTTTTCAGATGACAAATTTGAAGTCCCTCAGCTCGCTTGAACAGCTGTCAATAGCTGGTAATCCGTGTCTCTTGTCTTTGTCTAACGTCGTGTATCCTTGTCTGATTGGATATAAACTTCCTGAATGTGCTAACTGAGTCTATATCGGCTATGGGGGGCGTAGGTTTAGGATCGTGTTTTTTAGCTCGGTTTGGGAAGCAAGGATGGCCGAGCGGTTAAAACGCTGGTCTATCACCACTGTGGTCCTGGTTGAATTCCCGGTCCGGGACTATATGTGATTTGAGTTTGTAAGCTGGTTCTCTCCCTTGCTACGAGGGTTTTTCTCCAGGTCCGCTGGTTTTCCTCCCTCAGTCAAAAACTAGCTGTGAGGAGTGTCGTGTAGTAAAATAATGAATGTTGAGGTAGTGAGAATGAGCGAATATATAGAGGGCCACAAGTTTACTAGTCTAGAGACTATTACGTGCTACCCCTTTCACAATAATATGTACGTATTGACTGAGAGCGCCGTGCGGGGAAATATTTGGCTCGAGGTTATGCCGTACGGAACGAGCGCAGCGAGGTCCTTACAAATGACCAAGAACCAAATATTTTCCCTTATCATATGACCCGTATTTCGGACCTACGCGCGCTCTCACTGAAACCTTTGTAAAATGCTCWCGTGATGGGGTCCGTACGCCTTTTCGCGACTGGTCCGTACAAACCCGTATTTTCCCGGCTTGAAGTTCCGCGCGCTTTTATTTATTTATTTACATTAAAAAACGCTGTCATATGATAAAATGCTTATTGACTGAGTTAGGTCTGGCCTTACGGGAAAATATTTGGCTCTCGGTCATTTGTACGGACCTCGCTGCGCTCGGTCCGTACGGCATAACCTCGAGCCAAATATTTTCCCGTACGGCCCTCCCACTCAGTCAATAAGTACATAGTACGGCCCGACCTAACTCAGTCAATAAGCATTTTATCATATCACAGCGTTTTTTAATGTAAAAATAAATAAATAAATAAAAGCGCGCGGAACTTCAAGCCGGGAAAATACGGGTTTGAACGGACCTGTCGCGAAAAGGCGTACGGACCCCACCACGTGACCATTTCCAAAGGGTTTTTTTAAGAGCGCGCGTAGGGCCGAAATACGGGTCATATGATAAGAGTTTATTTATTTTATTTATTTATTTATTCATTTGGTGGTTGTGTGTTTTTTTTTTAATCTTTGTAGGTTTTAGTTTCTTTTCTTAAAAGTGCTGATTGTTTTCGTTTTCGAGGAATTTAGTGTGCGAACACTCATGAAAAACGTGAGTTTTAGATTTTACTTGACATACTTTGACATTTATTTGTACTAACTCGTTCAATGTCTCAGAAAATTACTAATGTGAATTGATTTATTAYTAGTTATTTCTGTGCCTTAACCTTTTAAAGTGGGTTTAATTACAGACCGTTTATTCTTGTGAATTGCCCTAAACTGAGAAACCTTGATGGTCACTTGATATCACAACAGGACAGGTCTGTATATAAACTCATCAATATTCCTGGAAATACAGTCAATGTGGTGGTGATAATTTCCAGATTCCTGGAAACGATCACTCGCATCCGGATTTGGTTGAATCCGCAAGCACTTCTGTAATTTTTTTTCGCGAGAAAAGTTGCAAGAGAATTCGTAGCGTGTGACACGACCTTAAACGCCTCGTAGGCCCGGTTCATACGTCGTGCTATCGTCGCGCCGAATCAAATAGTCAATTGGTGTCGACCCAAATACATTTGGTACGGCGTTGATTCATACGTCGAACCAAATACAGTCAAAAGCATAAGAAAAGGTTTGATAACACGAAATGTAAATCCATGATTATTGTCGAAAACAGATATTTTTGTGCATTAAGTTCGGCACGACGGTAGCTTGACGTATGAATCAGCGTCGAGCTTTTGCCGTGCAGCACGACTGGAGCTGCCGTGCCACTGCCGTGCTACAGTCGCGCCGAACTCAATTGATTCATACKTCGAGCTGTTCAAGTGCTAAATTCAAACTATTTGGTTCGGCGCGACGCTGGCTCGACGTATGAACCGGGCCTACGTACTGGAACTAATTGCGCGGACTTGAAAAGTATTGTCGGACTTTAAACATTACTTCAGACATTTCCAGATCTTGATGTTTTGTTTCTTTTTCTAAGGCTTGAGTCAGAAAAGTTAAGAAGTGATGGTAATCTTAGGACGTTCTCTTCTGGACGGCACCTGCAGTTAGTGAAATATCTCACACAAGCTACACCAATCAGAAACTCCAAGGTATAACACACRCTAAAATATCTCACACAAGCTACACCAATCAGAAACTCCAAGGTATAACACACRCTAAAATATCTCACACAAGCYACACCAATCAGAAACTCCAAGGTATAACACACRCTAAAATATCTCACACTAGCTACACCAATCAGAAACTCCAAGGTATAACACACACTAAAATATCTCACACAAGCTACACCAATCAGAAACTCCAAGGTATAACACACGCTAAAATATGGTTCACAAAATGGCACAACAATTTAGTACATCATCGATGACTGCCTAATGTTAACAATCCTGAAATACTCAATAGATATGTAATGCGGGCTTCGTACCGGTCCTGGACAACCTGGAAAGTCATGGAATTTTACTTATTTTAGTTTTCCTGATTTGGAAAGTCATGGAATTTTGTCTAGGCTACTCATGAAAGTCTTTGAAAATTGTCTTGTTTGTCATCATATCATTACGAGTCACTATTTCCTGATTAGATTTGAAACAAATGCAATATATGTAGTACAATAGTCATTGCTGATCAACTTAATGGTGTCAAACCTGTAAAGGTCACATACATGAAGTGCTGTCTTGTATTTATGAAGAAGACATTTCTATATTTTGGTCATTCAAAATGATGGAAAGTCATGGAAAAACTCAGGCCCGTAGACTGCCTTAAAAAATGGGGGTGCTCGTTTTTTATAATGAGGACCTAAATTAAATCTAAATTAGTTTAATGAACATGTATAGTGTGTAAGAACTGGCTGCTAAAAGGAGCAGTTCATTACAACTGAATACTGTCTCACACAGTTTATATGATGAACTGAATTTTAAAATTTTAAAAGGGGAACCCCCAAGCCTAATGGCCTGAAAACTGAAAGAAATWCATAGAATTTGAAGCTTCAAAAGAATACGAATCCTGTAAGATGGCATTTAGGAAAGAATCAGTTATGGTGTGTTGATATTTCATTATTTGATTTGATAGACGCCTACCCCGGCTATGGACAGCATATCAAGGAATGACGATAGATGGTCGGTTCCAGTACAAGATGAGAGACCATCTAAACACGGCCAGGATTTARCATTGGAGGATGTCACCAATTCTGGTTAGTCGTAAATAAAATGGTCGGTTTTCCTGGTTAGTCGTAAATAAAATGGTCGGTTTTCCTGGTTAGTCGTAAATAAAATGGTCGGTTTTCCTGGTTAGTCATAAATAAAATGGTCGGTTTTCCTGGTTAGTCGTAAATAAAATGGTCGCCGGTTTTCCTGGTTAWTCGAATTACCAGTCTTTTCACGCATGCTCATACATGATTGCCCACATGGTCATTATATGGTTAACCTTGCGGTTTTAATTATCAATTACGTAAAACGTTATTTATTACGCAAAACGTYTTCATGTATAGCGAAAGGTAAAGCCTATCAGTGACGACAAAGACACAAACATTTGAGTGCATGATTTTTCATAATCGCATAAGACGTGTGCTACTAAGGCTATTTAACAAATTTTCTCCAGGGCGAGTGGACCTCGAGATCTAGTTCTAATTGTTCTAGTATTACCATACTAGTTGGGCAAAAAATGAATGAAATATATAAATAACTAAATGTTTTTATTGCTAAAAATACGCAAAAAGTTGTCGCTTTCCGGTAGTCGAGAACTATTAGACCCCGAGTAGCGTAGCCAATCAGAACGAAGGATTTGCAATAGTTCACTAGTATGGTAATACTAATGCTCAACATGAGATCATCTCCTCAGTTTAGAAATTTTATATTTTATCTCGAACCGTTTTTGTTTTTAGAAATTGTTGATGACCAGCTTGTGTCTGAATCGTGCTACGTTCCAATCAGTGATWCACAGAGTATTATGTCGTCCGTTACTGGTAAAACAATATAGTACACTATCGTACAATTAAATTAGATTATCTCCAGTTCTTCTTCTTCTTGTTCTTCTTCTCCTCCTCTCATTCTCCCAATATGACAACAACATTGTTATGTATGACATCTTCAAAGGTGATTTTGAAGACTATCACGTAGCAGAAAGACCAAATCAAACGAACGACAGCAATGGGCAGCATTATGATACTGTTGATATTGTTGGATTACGTGTTAAAACTCCAGATGAGGAAGGGGAAGAGACTGTCGATCGGAAATCCCCTATTCAAGGTAAACACTGCGCCTCGCTTCCGTATTTTTAAGAGCAGATACTTATAAAGATATTCATGGCTTTAGATCCCCATGAAGTGTAAAAGTCTTTTAATTGCAGATATCACAAGTATACACTATATAGTAGCGGTTAACAGCCTGTGAACGATCATTTTCATCACGGATAAGTTATCCYTTTTGTTTCGACTTTGTTTTGGTACTTCCCTTTTTTGCGTTATAACTCTARAAAGCGCTTAGATTCGTTCAATGTTTTTTTGTTAGAGAAAGTGTTCTATAAATTATTTATTTTCGTGTKATTTCAGAAGATGGCATGAGCAATCAAGACGAATCTAACCAGCCGTTGATGACAGAGGAAGAAGCTTTTAAGCTCATYCATCTAGCGGCAACCATTATACAGGCTCGTGTAAGAGGGTTTTTAACTCGTAGAAGACTTGACTTCTATGAAYATCGACATCGCAAAAAAGCAGCAATCATTATCCAAGCTGTTTGGTAAGTATGGATCGCGGCACTTTTGACCAAAAAAATTCCTAAAAGTAACAAATCCCTGATTTTCAGCCCTAAAAGATGCAATGATCTCCTCTGGCCGATTATTACAAGACTGTAACAAACAATAGGCCTTTTGCATGAAACTGTCACATGGTACTAAATCCACCCAAGAGAAAATGAGCTCATTTTCTCTTGATCCACCATACTAGATGTCAAAAGAATATAAACAACCTCAAAAAAAAAAAAAAAAAAAAAAAAAGGAACGCTGCTCGTCAATTTTGTATTTTCTTTTTGGGGTATTTTGCCATCCAGTATGGCAGGTTTAGTACGATGTGACCGTTTCATGCAAAATCAATATTACCGAAACTCTAAGAAGTGATTCCCTGGGTTTATTGTCATGATTTGTTGTACTCTATCTGTAGGAAAGGATACTGGACAAGAATGYACAATAAAAAAGTAATAGCCATACGAAATGAAATAAGAATGAGAAGATTGACGGCCCACGTCAACTACTTGGCAGGCCTTGTCATAAAGTAAGTCTAGATCCTCGCTGCACTCCTTTGACTCTCCTTTGCACTGATAATGTTGGCTGATTTGATGATGGAGGGCAGACTGTGTACTCACATGTAATTGTTGTATTTTCCACAGATGTCAAGACCAGGCATCGCGTGACAAACGTACCATGGCAAAGGCTATCAAGTGTTTGTGGAGCGAACTAGAAAAACAGAACAGCAGATATGTTTCCTGGTTACACGCTCAACAGAATCGAGCTGCAGTTAAAATCCAGCGACATTGGCGAGGTTATAAAGTCAGGAAGTTGTATCCACGCCCCGCAACTGTCAATGTGACGTCATATMRGAGTATGGTCTYGATGTGTCGAGATATGCAGGAACAGGTACTTTTGGATTTCCTTTGGTGGAATRAATTACCARAAACCAATTTCTACCGCTAAGCATGATGGGAAAAGTTATCCTATTTTATTAGCAATTCTCACCAAAATTTGGCAGCTATGCCAGCTTCTCCATATGTTTAGTTTAGTTTAATGAGGTTTGTCACAAAATACAACATACTGGGAAAATAATAAATAAGTAAATAAACAAATAAATTACAAGACTAAACAAACAAAAATGCGACAGGAGGAGAAAACAGGGTTGAACCCCAATTGACATGTACCAAGGTGTTTGTTTAGACTCATTAAATGCGGCAAAAACTCTACTACATAATTTCATCGTATCATAAATGGTCAAAACAATACTCCATTTTCGAATTCTAAGCGAACAACCGCTGTTTTATTTGACAGCAGATTCTCTTACGCAAAGAACTTACCAAACACAAAGAAAGCACTAGAAAATGTTGTACGTACAATAGCGCTGACAATTTACATTTTCCCCGAGTTGAGGCTAACCCTGTATTCCCAGAAGGCCCATACCTTAAGTCTTATGGGAATACAGGGTTAGTCTCAACTCGGGGAAAATGCAAATTTTTAAGGCTATTGTAAAAACGAAATTTTCTCGTGCTCTCTTTTGTGTTTGGTCAGGTCTTTGCGCAAGAGAATCTGTAGTCAAATAAAGCAGCGGTTTTTCGCTATCAATTCGAAACTGGAGTATTTATAAATTCCTTGATGAAATACCCATATTTGAAAAATGTGTATTGCTTCAGACTT